ACATTTTTCATCAAAATTGTATAGTTTATGAACATAAATGACACAAAAAAATTCGCATTTTGACAGAACACTTTTTACAAAAATATTTCTAAAAATGTTCTTTAAATGCCCTAATTTTATGAGAAACATGCAAGAAAAAATAACATTTTTAAAATTAATTTTCCAAACATTTTTCATCAAAATTGTTTAGTTTTTGACCAAAAATGACACAAGATATTCACATTTTGACAGAACACTTTTTACAAAAATAGTTCTAAAAATGTTCTCTAAATGCCCTAATTTTTTGAGAAACATGCAAGAAAAAATAACATTTTTAAAAATAATTTTCCAAACATTTTTCATCAAAATTGTTTAGTTTTTGACCAAAAATGACACAGAAAATTCACATTTTCACAGAACACTTTTTACAAAAATATTTCTAAAAAAGTTCTCTAAATGCCCTGATTTTTTGAGAAACATGCAAGAAAATATAACATTTTTAAAAATAATTTTTCAGAAACTTTTCATCAAAATTGTTTAGTTTTTGACCAAAAATGACACAGAAAATTCACATTTTCACAGAACACTTTTTACAAAAATATTTCTAAAAATGTTCTCTAAATGCCCTAATTTTATGACATGCAACAAAAGACAACATTTTGAAAAATAATTTTACAAAATGTTTCACACTTTTTTGAGAACATTGTTTTAAAAACATTTTCTATAAAAGTTTCTGTCAAAATGTGAATTTTCGGTGTCATTTTTGGTCAAAAACTAAAAAGGTTTGACAAAAAATATTTTTTAAACTTTTATCTCAATCTCAGATCGATTCCTCCTCACCAGCTGTGTCAAACTCATTTTGGTTCAGGGACCACAAACAACCTGATTAGATGTGAAGAGGGCTGGAACAATACAATCATAACAATTATTTGTAAATAGCAATAAGTCCATATTTTTCCCTTTGTTTTCATGCACATAAGCGCAAGTATATTATTAAATATGAATAATTAATGAAATATTTGCCAGAACATCTCTGACATGAAGTGTTTGTACATTTTTTCACTTTCAAAATTCATCAAGCAGGCCGTATGTTTGACAGCGCTGCTCTACACTCCGACCTTCCTCCGACCTTACTTCCCTTCCCCATTGTGTCTCTTCCCCTACACTCTTACACCACTTATTCTGACTTATAAATCTATATTTTACTTTTACTTTCTGTCACTTTCTGTACAATTCTAGCATTTTCTCCTATACTCACTACACTTTCAACAGCTGTGTCCCAGTCTTTTTCACTCTTATACGCTATCCTATCTCATTTATCGTCTCATTCTTTTATGATCTATCCCTGTTATATTTTAAGAATCTCTCATTGTGGGAAGAATAAAGGAATTTGTCACTTTTTTAACTGGTTGATTGTAAGCTAAGGAACATTATCAATTTGTATCCTCCCACTTCATACTTTCAGAGTTATGGGGAAGAAACAGCCAATCCCAGCTGGAGGGGAGAGTGGAGCAGATATAAAAAGACAAACAACCATTCAAACCATTCAAACAAAAGTTCACAGTGTTCATTAGCCTAATTTTCAATTCTCAGGTTTTTGAACAAGAAGGGTTTAAACCGGTGATCACTGACCACTCTTCTGTGTCCCTCCAAGTCACCTGTACTACTTTTATTCTTAAAAAAAAAAAAATCACACCACATTTTCACTTTGTCCATCACTTTTCTTTCTCTCTCTGTCTCTGACCCCAGACTTTCTTTTTCATAACTCTTTCTCACTCTGTTCAATCTTTTGTTTCAGACAGTTGATAAACCTTGGCAAAAGTGCAGCTGTGTTTCAAATAATAAAAAAACAACAACAACACACAAACAAACAAAACAAAAAACAGCCTGTGCCTTTATACTCTCACCTGTTTTGGTGAATGTGTGTTTGTGTGAACAGTGGTGCACGTGGCTGTGTCTGTGATGATGTCAGCTGACACAGCAATCTCCCTGCCTACGTGAGCGAAACTTCTTTGTCAGAGTTAACCAGTAACGAGAGCTGGGTTCATCGTCTGATCAGCTGCCAAAGAGGAAACAACCGCATTCTCTGTGTGTGTGTGAGTGTGTACGTGCCTGTGTACGTGCCTGTGTACGTGCCTGTGTACGTGCTGTAATCTGACTAATGATGCCTGAGGTTTGACTCTGTAGCTTGATTTGAGTGAGTGTTCTGGAAAAACAGGAACACTTTAGGACTGGTGTGATCACAAGTGATAATTATATAAATAGCTGCAATAATTAGTCCATGTCAGTACGTGACAGGTTACATGATGAAACGAAGCCCAGGCTGCAGGACCATCAACAGACTCCAGATTAATACCTCACTGAAAAAGTTACTCCATGTTTTTTAATTATTAAGTAATTTTTGCTTCAGGTGGTACGAGCTGTATTTCAACAAATGCTACAGCTAGAAATGACGTGTTAGCTAAAATCTAATATGTGTCCAAATGAGTGCTGCTCCATTTAACAGTGAGCCCTTTGACAAGTCCAGGGACAAAATCAGTGAATTTAGCCTGCAGAGACATTGGAGTTGCAGGTTTACTGCTGCCTCATGTGGTCACTTTGTGTCATTGAGGTAAATGTGAATTCAATGTTTTGACTATGGACTTTGGTGTGGGAGACACCAAACCTTCACTACAATTTAATCATGAAAAACGCTATTATTATTATTATTATTATTATTATAACCATCATCATGGTTTTAAATAGTATAATTACCCTATGAACAATAACAACAACGTTGTTATCAGTTGATCTCAGTCTCTTCCTACCTCGTGCTCTAGTTCACGTTCACTGTTTACTTCCTGGTTGGTTTACATGCAGACTGCCGAGTCCTCAATGGCGGCGGGCAACTGAAAGTTCATAGAACGTGAGTGTGAACCAGTGGTTTCCTCCTCCTCCTGCCCCTCCTCTCCCAGCTCTTCTCTTACAGTGAACTTCACATTCAGCACGTCCCTCACTTTTCCTCCTCTGCTTGTATTTTTGCCATCACTGCTGTCAAGCTAAAAACGTCTGACAGGAAAACGATTTACTTTCATAATAAAACACGATTAGTTAGGATATAGGAAACGGTAACAACAATAATAACCAGGACAGTAGGTTCACAAAACGAGTTTTGATGAACACGAAAATAAAATAAAATTCCACGAAGGCTCTGGTAACAAGTAAAAACAATGCAGACTAGCATGATGTGTTTAGATTACAGAGGACATCGACGTTTGTGTAGGAGACACATGAGATATGGAGGTGTTATTTGAGGAACCTGTGAATTAAAATAAATAATGTTTAAAGTCCAAATGTCCAAAGCCAAAATGACTTTGACTGTGTGTGAGTGCGTGTGTTTGCACGTTAAACACTTGAACATTTCAGGTATTTTTTTTTTGTACAGCAAAGAGCTTTTACTTTGAAACCATTCACCGGAAATGTGTGTTATAAGCGTGTCGGTCTTGATGCTCTTGAATAAAGGCTTCCCTCAGTTGGCACAGCTGACATTCTGAGTCTTACTGTCATCCACAAACAAAGTCCTGGACTCGAACGCCATCCCTCAACATAAAATCTGCGCAGCGTGTGTCCACTGTTACTGTCATGCCTTTCATTGAGAAGAACGTGTCTGACGCGGAGCTGGAGCGGCTGGTGGAGGAGCGGCTTGTCCCGGCGCTGCAGAGCTGCGGATTCTGCCTGCTGGACGGCCTCCTCGGAGAGCTCGGGGACGGTGTCCTGGAGCAGGTGAAGGAGCTGCACCGAGTCGGAGCTCTGCAGGACGGCCGCCTGCGCGGGGCGGCTCCCCGCGTCCCCCGCCGCCGCCTCCGCGGGGGCGCGGG